TTATAATGTACCATGTGATTTTTTTGTTTCTTTGCATGTTCCTTCCCCACAGTATAACTCTTGTTTTCACTGTATTTGATGTCAGTGCCCTGCATTTTGTAAACACATTTCTCTAATTTGGGGAGGGGAAGGAAAAAAACAAAATGCTTAAATAAAGATACAGGTTGACCCATTGTAACAATGAGATATACAAGGCACTATGTTGAAAACTAACTTTACAACGTTGGTGGGTGGGTAGGGTTGGGGGAAGGGGTGAGGAGGTGGGGAATAGTTGTGGAGGTGGGAGGAAAGGGATGGTAGGGGGAAAACAAAGGATGAGGCAACAATGCTCCATAGGAAATGTACTCATTTCCTTGCTCATGTAACTGTAACCCCTCTGTACAGTATTTTTACAATAAAAATATACAAAAATAAAATAAAATAAAAAATGTTTTTTAAGAGGGGCAAAAAGGGACACAGAAATGGAGGGAGAAGGTTGAACAAATGCAATCATGTTATTCAGAAAATACTATATAGAAAATAAACTACAAAATTTGTGGGCAAAGATGGGAGGGGAAACTCGGGGAAAGTATAGGAAGGGGTGAAATTGTCGAAGAAGAAATGTACTCATCACCTAACATGAAATGGTAACCCCTCTTTTCAACATCTTAATAGTAACAATAAAATTATTTTAGAAAAAAAACATGATAGGAGGAAATAATTTAGTACAACAGAGAACTATGTGACTGTCTTATTAATTATAAATCTGAAAGGTGTATAAAAGTTACTAAATTATTTATGCTATAATTTTGGAATTATCCTTAATTAGATTCATCATATAATCACATTATCACCATAACAAAATTCTCAAAGAAGTCTCAAGTACCTAAACAGAAAGCCAGAACTAGAATTTAATGTTAGCAATGAAAACTGTATCCACAAAGCATGAATTCTAAAAGAGTCTGATTTTGGTATAAAAAGCTCTGATGTTACTAAAATTTTACCTAAGTTATTTATCAAAAAAAAACAGACCCATTGAAAACTTAACTGGAACAAATATTAAATACCTAACCTACTTAAAATATGTCTTAATACTTAATCATAGAAAGGAATGTTTTTAAAAATTAACTATTAAAATGAAAATTGGTAGTGATATGTAGCATATGGATTCCATGTATAATATTATCCTTTAGATAGAAAATTAATGAATCTTAAATTCTGTGTGATCGCAAGAATTGTAGCTACAGAGTGATGACATTTTAGGATTGTATGAGGATTCAGTGATGTTAGTATTTGAAGGTACTTGTCCCAAGCACATTTCAGTTGGAAAATTTCTATATATTGTTGTCTCCTCCCCCTCCTCTCCCTCCCCCACCACGTCCTCCCTCTTTCCCTTCCTCTTCTTCTATACTGGATCTTGAACTCAGGGACTTGTGAGCTCAGCTTGGCTTTGTTCAAGGCTAGTGCTCTATCACTGGAATCACATCTCTACTTCTGGCTTTTTGATGGCTAATTGAAGAAAAATCTCCTGGATTTATATTCCTGAGTTGGCTGGAAACAGGATCCTGAGGAATCAGCCTCCCGAGGAGCTATTATTTTCTTCTTTAAACTTTCTGTTTAATTAGTTTTAAATAATATTTTATAAAAATGAAATTACACAGTGGAAGAACCTTAACATTTATTTTAAATGGACCAAATCTGGACCAGGATTAGAAATAAATGCAATCCACTGGACATGAAGTTATTAAGGAGGAATGAAAACTCTGTTGTCCAGTTTTCTCTCATTTCTGCATTATGGAAGAAAACTTAAACATACATTGAGTAACATACAATATTTATCATGCCCCAAACATAATATTTGAATGAATAGAAGAACATTTTTGAATACTAATAACTAATTTTTATCAGACAATTCTATATGATATTCAGTTGTTAAATATCTTACCTATATTGTGCATACCACCCTATTCTAAGTTATTTTCATATCATGTAGATGATTACTAATCTGATAACTTAGCAAAGATAAAAATAAATAACCTGAGAGTGCGGTAAATGAAGCAAGATGTAAAATTATCTGGTTCCAAAAGCAAACTATAGCAAATAGCTGCTCAACTGTGAAACTGAGTGACAGATCTAAGATGTTCACCACCACCATCTGAATCCTGAGAATCACCCATCATCAAAATACATAACTATATCACACTCAAATATTTTGCAGACAGTCGGGTATGTCACTTTTCTAAATACATGGAAGGTGTGATTCTTTTCTAAGGATAAAATAGGAAACCCATAAGGTATTAGTGAAAGACAAAAACTACAGCTCCTCACATTGGTAGTATAATATCTATCTAAAATATACCTGTGTGCGCGCGTGTGCATGTGTGTGTGCGTGTGTGCGCGTGTGTATTCATTCATTCCTTTTCCTTAGTTATTGAGACTAACCTCAGTAACTATGGTTGAAGTGAAGACACTTTGGTCATAGGTCCATCCATCCAGGCATGGCTCTGTCTCCAGCTCGGTGTTATTCACGGCTGACACATTGGGACTTAGGAGTTGCCACTGGGTCTGGTGGAAGCGACGACACTGCTCAGGCTTCTGGTTTGGGTCCAGGGGGATGGAGAGCCTCAGCAGAACTTCCGTAGTCAGATTTGTGGTGATGTTGGACTTTGATTTGAGATCGAGGAGGCGGACAGAGCAATGGTGAGCAGGGATGGCTGCTGTAAAGTTCTCCAGGAAGTCATGCTGGGCTGACAGCATGTTTAACAATAGTAAAAGAACAGCAGTGAAAATCTGAAACCTTCCAGAGTCACCAACCTGTTGTAGAAGTTCCTCAAAGGCCATAGCTAGGTCTGGGAGTATCTGCTGCAGAACAAGAGGTAGAGACGGCAAGAGATCAAACAGTGAGCTTACCGCTTTAAAAGGTTTTCCCGGATGTGAAGGTGAAAAATGTTAAATAGAAAAATTGCTCTAACTTCTTCATAAAGGGTTATGAAACCACTTGGATTATTTTAACTACAATGAGGACCCCATGTTTTATTTCTTGGAGAAAGAGGTTAGGAGATACAGGCAACACGTAACTTACATCATACAGTGTTGGTCATTCTGTGTCTGACTTATGGAATGATGAATAGAGAGTTCTATGGTCATTTATATTGTAGCAATGGTTGAAATCCTTTTTTTATTATTTTGGCTGGATAATTTTGTTTGTGGATATATATATGTATAGATGTATATGTATATACATATATACACACATGTACACACATCCATATATATACATATATGCATATAGGTATATAATATACATGTATATATAATGTACATATGTATGTATTGTACATATATAATCACAGTCCTTATCTATTGGTATGCCATATACATTATTTACAGCAAATATGCAAATAAAGATTCCACATGGCTATACAAATACAAGACATATGCGTTAAGAAGTGTGTGAAAAGGGAGAGTTCTTGCATCCTGATCACGAAATTGCAAAGTGCTAAAACTATTGTGAATAGTACTGAGACGCTCCCCAAAGTTACAAGTAGAACTTCCCTGAAAAGCAGCAATCCCATATCCAAATGTAAAGACAAAGGAAACAGTGTGCATATTGAAGGGATATATGCATTCCCATGGTCACTGCAAAATTACGTACATTAGTCAAGGTATGGGAGATATTAAGCATACAACCCCAGGAAATCATTTTGATCAAATATGTTTACTCTTGTTTCTTGAAGCTATACATGCTTAGGCATCATAAGGAAATACATAGTACATATATTATACAAATTATATAAATGGAAACAAAAATACACACTCTAACAGAATGTTGGTAAAGAAGTTATGTGTTCCCTGAACACGATGAAGGGCTAATCAAATTTACATTGACGAACCACAAGAAGTTGTCATGAGATTAGATAGGAGTATGAGAATACTGCAAATTAAGCCATAGGGTTAGAAGCTACTAGGCTGAAAATAGGACAATCACCTGCTGAGGGTGCCTCTTACAGGAATATGTATGGGTAACAAGGGCAGAACAGTCATATATATATGTGTGTGTGTGTGTGTATATATATATGTGTATACACACACACACACACACACACATACATATATATCATGAGAGTCTCAGAAAGGTGGAAAGGGGTAGAGATCAAAGAGGTAAGTTTAGAATTATTTATTTTTCTCAACTGTATCCTTCAAACTTATCTAGTATACTGAATTAGCTGAAACTTTTAAGTATTAATTAAGGTGTTAATTAAGTTGATGGTTTATCTACCCACCATATTGTATTCATAAACTATAACAGCAATTGGTACCCATACATGGGCACAACTGTAATTTGTTCAGTTACAATTTTAAAAATTAACAGCTACAAAATTACAGAAAGGGTTAATGAGGTTCAACAAGAAAATGATACCTATGGTAACATAAGCAATAAGGTAGCAATTCAAGGTACTAAAAGCAAAGTTCTCTTATGGTTATTAAATGCTCTTTTTAATTTCCAAGCAAGCACAGTTTAGGACAACCATAGGACTTTCATTTTCTTCTGCAAATAAGCTCTTCTTTTTTGACAATTAATTTTAATATTCATATTGTTACCTTTAATTTCTTATGCTAGCACAATAAAAACAAAATGAAACAAAACAAGGTAAGAACCTACCTTCTTAATACTGCTGATGAGCTCCTAGAAGCACATGGAGAGAAATTGTGTGTGTGTGTGTGTGTGTGTGCCAAAGAGAACACCAAGTATAAGCCCAATAAAGTTAATGTGTTACCTCTTCTTGAGTCCACTCCCTGAAAACTCAAGTAACATAAATTGGTTTAACTGCATTAAGTTATTCATATTTTCTCCTCAAAGCTCATATTTGCTACAAAAAGAAAAACACTCAGATGTCCAGGTAATCTGTGGAAATCAAAGTGGAAATTGGTCAATTTTGAAATTAATCAACCTTGAAATGAATCAAAGTAGAATCCCACCAGGGTTTCTGGGAAAGAACCAGAGTTGGAGTCAGAACAATGCTACCCTTTTCCTTCTCTGCTTTCTGCTTTTATACAGAGCTAAAACTATAAATGTGTTCCACCACACTTGCATCACTACAATGAAGGCTTATCCTCCAGAGCACAAATTACACACAAGCCATGGAAGTCTAACCTTGGTTCCCAAGGTTCATGTTTAACTCATATTATAAAATGAATTTCAATACTTGTCTATTCCTCTTTCAAAAATCACCCAATGTCATTATTTCTGATGGAGGCATAGAATTCCATTGTGTATATATACCACATTTTCTTGATCCATTCATCTACTGAAGGGCACAAATTGTCATGTCAAAAAATGGGGAGGTGGGGGGGAAGATTGGGTGGGGGGGAGGGGGGAGGCTGGGAAGGGAGGTGAAGGGTAAACAAAGGAGGAGGCTGCAATGCTTGGTAAGAAATGCATGCATTATCCTGCCCATGTAACTGTAACCCCTCTGTACAGTATGTTCACAAATAAAATAATAAAAAAATCACCCAAATTGTTCAGGCAGTAGTAAAGCATGTGCAGAGCCAGGCCCTGGTGGATCACACTGTAGTCCTATCTACTCAGAGGCTGCATTCTTTGGTTGGAGGTTCCAATCAGCCTGGGCAGGAAAATTTCATGAGACTTTAATCTCCATTAACCACTAGAAAGTTAGAAGTGGAGCCATATAGCTCAAGTAGTCGAATGCTAACCTTGAGTAAAAAGGCTCAGGGACAGCATCCAGGCCCTGAGGACATACAAACATGCATATACACACATTCAACTCTCCCTCTCCAAACAAACACCCCCAAATACAAAAGCACGTGTATAGGTGAGGCCACCGAGGATACAACAATAGCATGAGTAAAATGAAGCCATGTTCATTGCACCCGAAGCTCAAATGCTTCTCAGAAAGCATTAAGATTACCTCCAAGCTACCGCAAGCTCACAGATTGGGGAGTACAAACTTATTTCATGTTGGGAATCATTTCAGGATTTGTAACCCATTATCCTATGAGTAGGACACTCAAAGAAAGCTGTAGCCATGGCTCTAATGGGCCCAGTTCCAGCTTGCCCTGGAACATACCTTGCTGTGTATCCTTGGGATGACCATTTTACAAGCATGAAGACTGCACGATGTACGGGGTCATGAGGATTTGTTTTACAAGATTTCACCATAATGTCTGGAGACTAGACAATGTGTCCCACAAAGGGGGATGGGGGATGAGGGGTTCCCTATGAATTGTTCCCAATGGTGTGATTTGTGGGACTTTGAGAGTGAAGCCACAGCTGCACTGGAAACCCCAGAAAGGTGACAGCAATGGACAAGCTTTGTGGAAGGAAGCTGTGGGCAGTAGCTGACGCAGTGTCAGGGAAGGGCCGTGTGGATGGCAGCCAGGGGGGCTGGAGCGTGGGGACCTTCCACGTCTTTGGAGACCACTGTCTTTCCCAGTGTGTATCAGAGAGTAGACAGAGCTTGTAGGTCCTAAGTTGACCTTTCATTTATTTAGTCCTCCTTTCTATTCACCTATCCTTCCCTTTTGGCATGGGAGAGTACACTCTCCACCGCTCTTACGCTTGTTTCTTGGGAATGTGTTACCCATTAAGAGAGACTGATAATAGTTTGCCTTGAGTCTAGACAAGACGCTGGACTTGGACGTTTGAGTAAAGTTCAAATATTAATACTTGGGGAGCTATTGATAGAATAAGAACACATACATCTCAAAATAGTCAATAAACAACTTATCAGTGATCAACAATGGCCACTTGGTGTGTGCACTAATTTCCAAGATCGCTTTGGATATGAGAAAAGAAATCAAACTTATTCTTCCACCAAATGTATACAATGATCTCCCTTTCTTTTCCAGCATTTGTCCTACCTTTTTGAGAATGATAATCAAGAAGCTTTGTATTTTAAAATGGACTTGTGAAAGCAAAACCTCCTTGTATAACTAATTCATGTAAATGAATAAAAATAGAATATGTAAATCCCTAAACAGATCAAGTCTGATGAAACAAATATCCCTATAGAAAGAGAGAGAGAGAGAGAGAGAGAGAGAGAGAGAATACAACATCAAAAAGTAAGAAGGATAAGATTCAAAGTAAAATGAAAAACATTGAATAAGACAAGGCTGAGTTTCCTGTTCTTTCATGTTATCAGTGAAGAAATGCAGAATCCCAACCTAGGACAAGTGTGACTTCTTTGTCTTCTTTCAAAGCTATGCAGCTATGCACCCCCTGGTAAGAATATAATGTGTATGCATTTGCTCTTCTTTTCTTTGTGTTTCTTGCTTAGTAGCCAGTGGATATCCTTTGTCAGCCATGCCCCCTGTGCGACTCTTAGCTTGGCTGTATCTAAGTGTCAGGTAGAGTGCATTACACACTTTGCACCAGCTGGTCAGGTCTCCCACCTTCCAGGGTCTGGTTGTGCAGTACGGAAGCAGTGTGAAAGTGTAGCAGCTGGGGAACACTGGTGGGCTTCCTTGCCTGAAACAGCTTCTATATGGATTGCCTCCATAGTGCTTGCAATGCTTTTTGAAGCTCTTGCAGCTAACTTCAATAGTGGACAGCTCCAAAGGGGAAGTAGTCTTCCCTATGTTCCACCACGTTGAGCTCTTTGATTCTCTGACTTCATTTGTCCCCTATGGTGAGAACAGCATTTCAGGACATCACTCACCAGGTCACTGTGACCCTTTTTGGGAGCTCTCCTAGACAAAACAATGCAGGGAACTTTGAGTCCTAAAGCAGAAGGTTTAAGTATTAACCCCTTAACATTGTTTCATGCCATGGCACTGGACCAAATACCAGGATGAAGCAAGAACATTCCTAGTGCCAATATGCGACTGCAGACTCCAGACTTCCTTCCTTCCTGTTAGACTGCCAATTCTGCTAGATACTAGAGCTAGTGTTAATTTTGTTGTCTAATTCTATCACCTTAGTGCCTCCCCCGTCCTCTATGGGTATACTTCTGGGTGTCTCCCACATTGAGACACTTTCTATTTCTCTGTTCTACTCTCCAGATTGTGTGGGTTATTTCTCTACTGTTCTGTCTGCTCACTACTAAAACTTTAGTGTCTTCTATTTGTCTCACACACCACTCTCTGTATCTGTTTCCCTTTTCATGTTTTGTTTTTTGTGATATTGGAGCTTAAACTTAGAACCTGTGCTCTCACATAGTGTTTTCTGTTTCATGCTCAGTGCTTTACAACTTGAGCCATTCATCCAATCCTGCTTTTTTTCTGGTTCATTGCAGTAAAGTCTCATGGACTTTTCTTTCCAGGTGGCTTCAAATCTCAATCCTCATATTTCAGTTCCTGAAGAGCTAGGAGGGCCCGGCAGCATGATTAACCATTTAAAAAGAATAGTAATAAAAATCTGAAACCTTTCAGGGTCACCAACCTGCTGTAGAAGTTCCTCAAAGGCCGTGGTTACATTTGACAGTATCAGTTGCAAAATTTCCACTTTAAAAGGTTTTCCTGAATTAGCAGGTTAGAAAAATGGAAGCTTTCACTTGCTGTTTTCCAACAGTGTTTTTACTTTCCTCAATTTCTCAGTTAAATCCTGGAGGTCACTTGAATTATTTTCAGTGCCAAAAGGGTAACAACTTTTGTTGCATAAGTATAGACATTTGAAGGAGCTGCTTCCAAACAGTAAACCTTTAGGAATGAAAGTTAATATGTTACATATTCTGCTTAGCTCTCTGTTCATGGGATTTTAAATATTAAATTGACAAAGACTATATATATATATATATATATAAAGATTATATACATATATACTATTATGTAATATATTATACTAATATTATATATTATATTGTATATATGCATATATAAAGATTATGTACATATATGTATATATACATATTCAATGTATACACTGTAGTAATTGCAAAATTAATGAGCAACCAAGATCATGATCAAATCAATGAACACATCCAGACACTTTCCATTTGTACTTTAACAATGTTCACTCTTCCTTTTCCCCTTGCCTGGGCACCTGATTCTATTATATAAGTTCAGTAGTTTTAGATTTTCACAAGTATGTTAAATCATACAGTAGTTGTTTTTATCTGCCTGGCTTATTTTTCTGTAGAATAATGTCCTTTAGATTCATTTAAAATATCCTAAAAAGCTGGATCTTCTTCTTCGTAAGATAGTGAACATGCCATTATTTAAGAATATGGAATAGAAAAATATGTAAATACATGTAGTAATGGAACACTTATATAAAGGAATGCGCATATATATTCCATATGTTTAATTAACTACTGAAAAAATTTAAGACACCCAGCATCACCAATAACAAAAAACTAAAAATTTAAAAAAACAGGAATAATTCATGTCACAACTTTTAAAGATGTGTTGGTGAATGGAGGTAGGAGAATGTACATATATTGTAAAAAGATGAAAAAGATCCTTCAAACATTACAAATGTAACTATCATGCAAGTCAACAATTCTTCTGATGAGCTATAAATCCAATTTCTTTTAAAGGAAAGTGATTTTTAAGAACTGCAAAATAGAAAATGGGTTTGTTAAAGGTGACAAAGGTAGAACAATTCAAAAACTAAAACATCCATTTTATCTTCCATGTCATTTTTATCTACTATATCTACTAGGTAAGCTGAAACTCTAAGATTTGAGATGACCATGTAATAGACTGATTTAATTATTATACACTATATTTATAAATTATAACATGAATTTGTACCTGATAAGTATATACAGCTAC